TTTTTTTTTTAAAACCTACAAATAACATATTCATTGAGAAGCATCGGTGGGGCAGATGAGCTTTCAAGCGGTATCGGATTGTCTCGGAAATGCTCCAAGAGATCAATCATCGTCTCAAAAATCATCTGATGGATGCGACATTCGCCATCAGGCATAACCACAATCCGTACGTGCTGAAACAAAAAAACGAAATGGATTTTTAAGAAAAAAACCCCACAGAAAAGCAAATTTTTTTCCCGAAAAGCCGCAAGAATCATCCGAATCTATTCCTGACCAAATTGTTGGGTAAAACGCAGCAACGCATTCACTTGTGGTGGACCAAATTTACACGAAAAAAATTAACTTAACAGGCAAGCTCACATGTTATTACCATCTGGACAAAGCTCATCCTAGAGCTAGCTCTTCGCATGCAGCTTGAAACTATTGGACGTAATCGTTCTGCGCGGTCGTATCATCAGTAAGGACTATACTCATTCTGTAAGGCGACAACACCAGCAACGGGTATTTTCTACCAAAACAGGTAAATGGTGCTTCCGGAGGCTGCGCAGTGCTGAATATGAATATTTTAAAATTATCAAACACCTTTTGGTAATTATGAAATGCTTAAATTCCAAATGTCAAAAGTGGTGGTGATAGCCAGTTTATCTACGACTCATTCATTCGTTTCGATGGTAAATTGGTACTGCTCATGCCAATTGACTATAAGCGTGCTTTTAAGAAACCTTCGAAAAAAAAAAACCGTGCTACTGGGTGCTACTTCCTAGACAACATGTACGGTAAGGGTTTTAACTTTTGGCGCTAAGCGCTTTTGAACTCAGTTAAATCAGTGCCTTTAAGTTTATTCCGAAAAAGAAATGTGGTAAGATATTGTTCTGAAGAGTTAGGTTCAGATCGAAAGTGAAAATTTATAAGTACAATTACCGAATCCCACAGTTTTGCAGGACAAAAGAAATACCTTAGCTTTGCCTTGACAGTTAAATGTCAATACGAATTCGCCAGGGCGTGTTTCACTTTGACGTACGAGAAATAAGCCGTGTCCGTCGACTCCGTTGTGCAAAACCAGGCGCGCGCTTACGCATCGTGATAAGCGTGCGTGAAACCAGGGATAAAATTCAAGTCCGGGAGGAAGTGCGCGCATCGTTGCCGGAATTCTTCTATCACTTCCTGCTGATGTCACCGCATGCACATTGTTCAACGACCTGAAATGATCACGATACTGGGGGTTTCACTTCTTCAAACAACTCAGTTAAGTGCTGTAGCTGGACACAGAGCTTTCGCGGATCCAGAGGGGGAGGCAGGGATCTTTCGAATAGCAGTTGTTTTACTGTAGAAAACTCTCTCTGATACCCCCTATCGTACCCCCTCCCCAAAAGCCTTCCCCGGTCGTCGCTGCAGTTTAGGGTCAAGTAGCGAGAGGCGAGGGGGAGGGAAGAGGTGAGATGACGAACAGGGAGGAGGGATGGAAGAAAATTACCCCCTCCCGTTCCTCCCCAAAAGACCACCCTGGATCCGCCTATGACACAGAGATTGTTCAGCGTACTTCTTGAAAAAAACCACTCTCCTGGTTTGGCACAAAAACACATCGATGTGCTGGGCTAATCTGCTAACTCGAATGTAGGTAGTTATGGAAAGGTGATCGCACAATCCGCTATACTATTAGAAAACATTCCAAATATGAAACAGTGGTGAATTAATAGCCGTTCCAAGTGGTTATGTAATTGAGTAAGCATTTTTTTGCAAATGTGTGAAAGAAATTATTACAAGTGAAATAAATCAGCGGGCCCATTTTGAGAGTAATGTCCTTTACACTTAGTCGATGACCACAGCACTGGTTACTTGAGTAGCCAAATGGGCAAAACTGGATTGGTGCAGCAAGACACGCATCTAGATTAGAACAAATTTCATCAAATTTTTTAAAAATCCTTTAAAAGTGTCAATAGTAAATTTTGTTGACCGAAATGTAAACGAATAACGAAAGGAACGAGTAGTAATTTAGTCCAGAGGCATAAAATAATATTCGGTGCAGTAACTTGAAACTGAAGTTCGATTCTGTGTCGTTTTCAAAATTTTTAAACTTTTTAAATTTCAGGTCAATATCCGACCCCCAGTTATGAAATAACTTTGTACCATCTCACCAATGAACCTTAAACCCGAAAAAAAGATTTTCAAAAAACATTTTCTCCAAAATTTGTTTACAGAATTTTTAAAACATTTAAGAAGCGAAACTCAAGTTTTAAAAATTTTCTAATAAATGAAAAAGCCTCGAAAAATTATTTTCACGAAGCATAACATTTCATTCTGTGGGACCCATAGACTATCCCTTACTGGTTTTCAGCTACAAATGCAGCTTAATCGAGAATGGAATAGCACGGGAAATGCTTGCCTTGTCGAAAAGAACTGTCGACTGTGTAGGAAATTCGAGCCAGCCGGTGGAGCGGACGGTTCCCGAATAAACCTCCGGGATGTGTTCGGTTCGTTCACCGATATGCAACCCCGTATCATCGCTAGCCACTGTTGGCAATCTTCTCGGTTCCTTGCTTCGATTACGTATTCAACCTAAAAAAACGGCATTCCAACTTACGAATGGAAACAGAAACTTCACTTAAAAAAGTGAAACAAATTTGAACAAGTGCCTATTTCCACGTGATTTTAGAATCTGAACTTGGAATAAAAGTTTATTTGAAAATAGCGATTTTCAGGACCTCACTACTTTCTACTCTTAACTGGCGCAACAACTCATTCACGCTCATAAATTAGCGGTGGCAGTCCAGCTCTAGCGCTAGCTGAGGTCAGCCTAGCCGAACAAATAACTTTTTGCATTTTCAATTGCTCTAGTCACTTTCACTTCTCTCTATTTTAGGATTTTCCCATTCACATAATTCCAGTCTACACCGGGCTTGCCGGAGGGATTATACTTTTCTGCACTAAACTTGCAGCAGTCAGTTCGCTAACATCAAAAATGTTCCTGTGTTTTGGTTAAGATGTGGACTCATGTTCGCAGTGTTTTGGTCCTCTTGCATACAGAGGGAAAGGACTCGGCTGGAACGGTGGTGTTGCATCACGGGACCGCATTGATCTCCAGCGTGCATGATTATCAATTTTTTGCACGACTCCGGTCGTTTTCCCGGTAGGCGGCCCTTCATCCAAAAATGTAAATTTGAAAATGCACACTATGTCAGGAAAAAAGGATTAAGAAATCACCAAAACGCACTTGGCCTTCATGTTATGAAAAAATTGAGTATTTCTCATTTCCTCGTGCAGAAAATTTGAAATCTCTAAGTTTTACATAGACGGGGAACATTCCGTTAACATCTCAGCACCCCATTTTTTCTCGTTTTCAAGTTAGCAATTTTCCCGCCAAAAGTTTCACATGCTCGTATGTAGGGCTCAGATATGTGTAAAGGTTGGCACTGTGCTTCTGGGTGGCACCTGGCCGAGGAACTCATTGGTAAAATTTCAGTGCCGAAGCCTGTTCAGTTGCCGAGTTAAAATACCCGGACAGATGCATACACACATACACACACATTGTGGATCGTCACAATATACGTTTTTGCATTTGCATCAGAAACACAAGAAGATAAAACGCCAAAGCATTACATCGTTATATCCGCGAATAGCAAAAATCGACTCGTTGCCATCTTCAAATTCTAACGGCGTTGTTTCCCTCACTTCCATTATCAGAAAACAAAAAATGCCCGATTTCGCTCGATTGCTCTGCAACAACTTTCATGAATACTACGGGAAGTATTTGTTTTTCCGTTGTCAGAGCATTCTATAAAATATTCGTAGCATGAAGATTATTCTTGATAGCCGAATTTACATTTTTACTGCAATTAGTTCACATTTTTTACAGTTTAAGCACTGAAGACACAGTATCCCCGTGATTCCTAGTCGACAAAGTACACCATCATGGTCTAGAGCTGCAACATTTGAAACGAAATAGGGGAAAAGGGTGTCGGCTGGGACGGTGGTATTGCAAAATGGGGCCGCGTGAATCTCCAGCGTGCATGATTATCAATTTTTTGCATGAAGACCGGTCGTTTTTCCGATGAGCAGTCTTTCAACCAAAAATGCAAATCTGAAAATACACACCATTCGGGACAGGATTAAGACACCCCCAAAATGCAATTGCTTTTCAGGCTGCGATAAAACTAAGTATTTCTCATGACCTAGTGCAGGAAATTTGAAATCTTTAAGTTGGACGTAGACGGAGAATATCCCCCTAACACAAACCAAGGTCATCTTGAAACTACCGAAGCCTTGCCAAATGTTTCTGACGAGAGAATCACAGAGTTGGCAATTTCTTCACAGGATCGCTACAGGCCGACCAATGCAGCACTGCTCAAAGTAGAAGGAAAAGCTGCCAGCTGAGTGATTGGACAAGCAAACAGTAAGTGGCAACTGATGGAAGTATTAAAGTATTGAGAAAGTCAATCACTTATACTCTCGCAGACCACACAGTTCTGTTTTCACTGCGAATACTATTCTGCAAGACACCCAATATGCAAGAATTTAACTTTATGAAGTAAGGAAGTGGGTCTGGAAATGTGATCTTAAATTCTTTGGTCCCTCTCGAAGCTCCTCACATAATTATTATTAGTTGCAGCAATAACCCATTCCGTATTTTGTTCCCCATTATTTCAGCATTATTTGTTAGCGATCGAAATAGTGCAACATACTTTGGGTGGAGAATAGAATTCCAGCAAATATCCTCCAGCTGTCTTCACCAGACAAAGCCTGCACTTTCGCCATTGTTTCGTTTCAAGTTCGGATCCGCTCATATATCTGTATTACAAACAAAAACATACATGTTACTTCCGGGTAGTTATCTTTTTTTTCTGCTAATCATCGAAGACAAACTCCCCACCCTGGATGAGCACACTTCAAGCAGCCAACTAGCTTCTCCTTGCTTCAGAATACATTCATTGAAAGAAACCACGAACAAATAGCACTTGTGAATTATCTACTAAGCAAAAGAAGCGTTAAGCATTAAAATTAAAACAACTCCAAAAGATTGTTAGTCCGAAAAAAACGAGCCCACCTCACGTGACCTTCTCGAATCAGTTCAACTGCAGTTTTAGCTGGGAAATGTGATCGAAACCAAGAAAGCCGTTTCGACGAAGATCGTGGCGGATTTGGTGCCGCAGCGGGTGGCTGATGATATCGAGTCGCTGGATCAACCTGACCGAGAGGAAAATTCAGTTTTTAACAAAAAACATAATTTCCTAATATAACAGCGCTTTATTTAGTAGTTCCAGAATTTCTAAAATTTAAACTGACCAGCATATTGGGTGCTCTCGAGAAAACTTCGGACCTGGACCTGGCCATCCAAGGCACATCAGCAATGCTCGCTGGTCGCTTGTACTCATTCAGGGATTTTCCACCACATGACCGCTCACGAAAATTGATATGATCCGTTGATGAAGCGTTCTGAAAAATTGCACATAAAGAATACCCTTCACTCAAAACTAAACAATGAAATTTAGTGAGGAAGAGCGGCCATCTACAATCCCTCTTCTGAAAGTTGCTTAGAAAACAAGCTGAAAACTCAATTCCATCGCGCAGTGTACACCTACACTTCCTGGCATTAGAATGAATGAACTGATTAGTTGACTACATAAATCAATCTCAGGCTGGAACGCACCAAACTTGCCTACGTTTTTGCGCTAAACTCGCAACGGTCAGATCGTTAAAGGCATGATTGGTACTTGCATAAAGTTTAACACGTGGACAAATGCTGTCTGTGTTTTAGTTTTTTCTTGCATAAAAGTTGGGATGGTACTGTTGCATCACAGGTCGCGTGAACGCCCTACAGTTTAAGCCTGGTCGTTTTCCTGGTAAACAATTGTGAAAAAAATGTAAATTTAAAGGAAGTCGGAAGAGGGTTGCGAAGTCCGCAAAATGCACTTGTTTTCTAGCTTGTGATCGGTATTATTATGTCTACGCGTAAGGAATTTCATCGCCAATATTAATCAAAATCACAAGTGCATACAGAATATGCAGCAAAGTTTCAGTTTCGCAGCTCATCCGATAAGCGAAATAGCCATTTTACTACAAATATCTTTAAAATCCCCTAAGCTGCGGAGCAAATGCAATTCAAAAATTATTCCAGGTATTAATAAATATTCTAACAAAATTTCGGCTACCGTTTTCCGGCTACTTTTCGAGTTACCACAATGCCAACTACGAATTTTGACGAAACCGTACGCGCGGTACAAGCCTGCGCGGTAGCTGAATTTGAAATTTTTTGCTCATACACGCACAGAGAATATCACTGCAAAGTTTCACTATCTTGTCTGGTTCACGAAATCGTTTCCCGGCAGGGAAATCTGTACAATTTTTTCGGGGGTCCGTATACGAAATTCTTGGTTAGAAATTTCGCTGAAAATTTTTTAAACATTATTCTGTTTCTGCTATGATGCTATTTGCTCTAAGTGCTTTTTACAGCGAAATAAGGAAGAACACTTTGTTGGATAATAATGGCCTTCTGAATACATGCATATTAGGCCATGGAACGTAGGGATACAAAATGCGTCTGCTGCCAAGCGTAAAACAGCAGCTAACGCAATGGCGTAGTAGTGGGCCAAAACAGCGCAAACTGCATGCGCAGCCAAAAACGTCACGGAGCGATTTCGGTTTTTTTTTTTCAAATTCTATCAGTTCGGTGAAGAAATTCGGACTTTTTTCAAATTTTAATCAGTCCGGTGAACTGATGCTTACCGGTTGTACGAGGAAAGTGGCAGGCCGAATGATGTTTGGAGTGGTCAGCCTGTCGGTTAATTCTTCAGCAAGTGTACTGGTGAACTGTTGGACGATATCCGACACAGCGATGGTACCTTGCGCGATGCCCGCATTCGCTGCATATTGTTGCCAGCTTTCTTCAAATTTGAATGCGACCGACTTCGCGTACTGCATGCAAAACTGTCGCCATCTGCCACT